AGTTGAAAAAGAAAGAAATGACTTCACTGTGTTATCCTGACTTGTGAATTCTCTTTAATTAAGACATTCATCTATGAATAATAGAATTTCTTAATCCTGTTCTTTTATCAAGCTTAACTGATGTTCTGATGTCTAATAGGTTTGGACTGCTATTCAGGAGCAACTTCCAGTGGTGATAGCAAAAATGAAACTCTACTTGCAGAATTCATCCACAAGAACAATACTTTTCAAACCTATAAAGTGAGTTTAGATGATAAATAATTATATTTAAAACATTTTTATCTAGTTTTTGTTTCAGAATGTTATTTTCAAGTTATGCAGAATCTAACTTAACAAATGTTCTTCTTGTTCACGTGTTTGTGTAGGACTAATATCATTGAAGCCCATATCCAAGTACAATCTCTTCTACAATCTGAATACACAAGTGAAGAGATCCAGATTATTAATCTGAAATCCGTACCGGATCTGCAAACTGAGCTTGATAATTTTCTCTGATCTGTATGTAGAGAGGCCATTGAATAACTCATCCATTTTTTCTTCATTTGAGGATATATGTTTGAACAAACACAGGCATAAGTTACGTCATTACATTACATCATAGATAAGATAAATTTGTAGAATTACTAGCGAGAGTTGACAGTTGTGGTTTTGCCTCCGATTATCATTTCTTTTTAACATGGTGAATTTATTAATATTTGTACATTCTTTTTTTAGTCAGCAGTCATTACCGACATTATAATTACCCAGCCTTCTGCTGGTTATTTTTGTTACGAGAAACAGTTATGTGGTCGATCGTCTGATTTATGTTCTTTGATGCGGTGACTAAAACGTGCTCTTTTTGTCTAGTGACCCAAATAATATGCATCTTTTCAAGAAACATAGGAAGTAACTAAATAATCTTCATGAAAAGAATGTAAACGATATTCAACTTTCTCTCTAAATATAAGTTAACCGATACTAATTGTTTGCACAGTTGTTCACTGTAAATCTTAATTGACCTTAACGATTTTCAATTTTCAATTCTAAATGCCTCTCAAAGACCCATGGCATCTTCAATTCCAAATGTCTTTTCTATGCCAAACATGTAAGAAATGCATTTTCAAATGATCATCAGCCCTGAAAAAGGACACGATAGTTTTCAATAATAATTTTATTTTCACGTTAAGAAAGAAACTATGTCTTTTAACTACTTTTTTTAACTACTCTAAAGTATTTTTTATAACTATTGTGTTTTTAACTATAAATTATGTTGCATTTTGGGGTTTGAATACTTGATTAAAAACTGCATAAAAGAAAAGATAAAAACAAGGATAAAAATGTAAAAATATTTTGTTTGATTGACTTTGTGTATTGAAAATATTTATAAGTTCAACTATTTATAAAATGATGCGGTCCACATAAATTGATTTAGTTTGACTATTTACTTGATTATGCGTGAGTTTTCTTCTAACGAAGTATATGACATCTCACATTTGACTCATTTTTACTATTTTTTAAAATATTTTTTGTTTTTCTTTATGAGAATAAAGAATACCTAAGATGAATTTTGCTAGAGAGATGGGCACGTCCAATCTCAGGGCTCGATGTGATTCTCAGTTGATCACTAGCTAATTTGTTGAAAATTATCAGACAAAGGAGGCACTACTCGTCAAATATCTCTAAAGAGTTCAAGACCTAGTCAAAAATTCAAAAGATGAAAGACCATAAGTTATTGATGATCGGTTATTACTAGTCAACCATGATTAAAGACATTGTGAAATTTGTCAAAAGATGTGATAAAGGCCAAAGGCATTCAAACCTACACCATTTTTCAATCGAAATCTTTCCTTTTTTTACTTGCCCATGGTTGCTTTATCAATGGAGTGTGGACATCCCAGGTACCTTTCCCTTGGCACCATGGCAAGTAAAGTTCTTGCTCGTGGGTGTGACTACTTCATCAAATGGATCGAGGCGAAAGTGGTGTCCAAGATCACAGTTGAGAAAGTCCAACTCTTCTGTTGGAAGTATATAATCTACATACTTAGGTTGTTCATATACATCTTCTCAGATAAATGAACTTAGTTTTTCAACTCAACTGTATTGTAGTTTTGCCACAAGCTTGGGATACAAATTAAGTTCCTCTCGGTAGTGCATCCCCAAGTTAACAGATAAATTGAATTAGCTAATAAGGTCATCTTTTATGGAATAAGAAAATAAGCTTGGTGAAGTTAAGGGATTATAATATGAATATTTACATGAGGTTATATTGTCGTATCACACGACACATCATTCCTCCATTAAGGAGACATCTTTCAAAATGGTTTATGGAACCGACACCATGTTACTGGTGAATATCGACATGTCTACCTGGCAGCAAGAACACTTCAACGAGAAAGGTATAACACGCTAAAAGGCATCACCATTTCTTTATGTTGTAACCAACTGTCTAACCTCTATTTGCATGATTAATAGCTTATTAAAATCAATCAAATTTCTTTATAAAAATAAAATGAAACAAAACTCAGGTGCGCGACAAACCTATTTGATGAATCTCAACAGGTCTCTTATATCTAAGAATATGCAACCAAGCAAAGGGTGGCTAGAAGATATAACTCTATAGTAGTCCAAAAGGACATGAAAGAAGGTGGCCTAGTGCTTAGACAGGTCATGGAGCCTATATGGATTCGAAATCAACTCCTCGATATGGAAGGAACATACCGAGTACATGAAAAGTTATGCATAACACGTATAAACTAGAGGAGATGGATGAAAGCCTTATCCTTAAGACTAGGAACTCGGTCAATTTAAGGCATTATTATAACTAGTTTATTTTCTTGTCATAGAAATAAGACGATGATACATTTTCTATATAATTCATTTCAAACTCTTCATATAAATAAAAAGGTATGGTAGCAATTCTTCTTACTACAAGCGCAAGAGTTTTTAATGAAACACCCTATTTTCTCAACATTATTGTAAGCTAAACTCGTGAAAGTCTTATGCCCTACGGGGTATCTATGTTTGAGCCTTACCAAGTATCATTAACACCCTATGAGATATCTTTGTTTAAGATATACGAGGTATATTAACTTGATCCCTGCGGGGTATCATTGCCTCACTATGGGATATTATTGCTTGAGCACTACTGGGTATCCTTGTCTTCCTACAAGGTATTTTTGTCTGAGCCCTATAGGGTATCATTGCCTTCATATAAGGTATCTTTTATTGAGCCCCACTGGATCTCATTACCTCCATACGGGTACCTATCATTGCGCCATATATGGTATCAATTTTCTTTATTGGGTAGCATCATGTCCATTGCGATTGTTGGATGTTCCCTCCTGAATAAGTTCACTCACAAAGTCTTAAAGGTGTTATGAATTTTGTGAAATAAAAAAAATATTTGTACAAGTAATAAAAGATGGGCACAATTTTTAATTAAATATACATAGAAGTTAATAAACAATTTTCCAAAAGCATAAATATTTCATTCAAAGACCTTGGAATGGGCTATGTTGAAAAATGCCTTAAACTGACCAATATTACAATAATCATAACTTAACAAACAAACAAAATCTAATTGATTGGCAAGACATACTCGTATTTTCATGGATGAATCATCCCCTTTCATCAACAATATGAACATCATCAAGCATCAATGTGTTCTCCTACCTAGTCTCATATAGATAGGCCTATTTTTTGTCACCCATTCTCCTCATCCACCAACTGCTTGTATCGGATGACCTTGAAAAGACCAGGCTCGTACAAGTCAAAGTTGGGATAGAGATATAACAACTGCACCTTGTCCCTTTCAAGTGTTTGGTATTTATCCTTAACAACCTTTTTATTTTTAGTTTGAGGAGGAGATTAGACCTCTTCGACCACTCCCGACTTAACAGTGAAGATGGGTGTGGCTGCGATTATGCAAACATCCTCCACCGTATTCCTTTTGTTTTCACCCCAAGTTATCGAACCCGAGGGGTTGCTCGTTGGATTAAGGGACCATGCCCCGCCCCGATCTTCCCTCCTCTTTTCTTACAAAGTATTTTTCACAACATTATACATAGGAGTCATCCTTTATGCAAAAGGATGAAAAAAATGTAAATGACAACACTAATCAGAACACTTTATTTTGCAAAATACTTACTCAAATAATACATAACATTTTAGCAAAACTACACCAGGGGTCCTTTAGGTTACTTTATTGTAACATGCTGGTCCTTTACATTTTTTAGCTACAAGTCAGTCATTTATATTATCCAATGTATACACCGTTTCCCATTTTTAAAAATTTCGTTCCAAAAATGCATATTTGGCATTAACGTTTCTGAGGTGGTTGTAACATTGATTGCATGAAATTGTTTTTTATTTACCTTTAAGTAATTAAACAAAATGACTTTGTGCTAAACTGCATAAACGAAGGTGATACTTGAAATCCCTAAATCCAAAAGTAAGAAATAGAAAGAGTGACGAAGACCTAAACAAGTACGAACGCAGAAGGAACGAAGGTGCTCAAGCACGAAGTAGGAGAGCTACGCAGGTAGAAACAAAGAAGAGAGAAGAAGGATTCAAAGAAGAGGAATGCAGAAGTGAAACATTTTAACGAAGGTATGTGTCATTTTCCCTAAATTTGTGGTTCTCATTTTAGGGATTATGGTTCTCATTTTAGGGATTTTAGGGTATGTGTTCAGATTTTCAGTATTGGTAGGGTAGTGTAGCATAATGTAATGTTGCTTGATTGATTGTGGTTCCCTTATATCTATACTAATTTCTACAAGGTATATATCTCTCCAAAATGGATGTTTTTTATGTTGACTTTCATCACGAGGGACAGTTTGATGATATGGGTATATATGTAGGAGGAGAAGTGTCAAATTGGAAATATGATGGTGATAAATGAAGTTATTTTTGAAATTTTGGGTGTTGTTAAAGAAATGGGGTATCCTGGGGTACTTGAAATGTGGTATGATTTTTCCGATACATTAAAGGATCTAGTAAATGATTTTGGTGCAATAGAACTGCTAAATTTGTACAAGACTAATATAAAGGTAGACATATACGTAGTCTACCTTATTTCCCAACCGGATGTAATAGAAGTAGTTGATGTCCAACCTCTCCAAATTGATGTTCAACCTGTCCAAATTGAAATCTGACCCACTGAACCAATTGAGGGTCTTCCTGAGATACTTGAGACCTACCTGTTGATAGTGACCATAATGAACAAAGTGATGATAGTGTATTACGGTGCAGGTTTGATGACTCTGTTGATAAGGTATTAAATGATGGAATTGATGGGGTGTTGGTAAGAGTATAAGGGTTTGTTGTTGGCCAAAATGATCAACATGTGGATGAATTAGAATTGGGTGATTCACTTCAAGGTAAAAAACGGAAGGGTGGGAGACCATAGAAAAAGAAGGCCAAAGGAAGTTCCAACAAGAAAAAGGGAAGACCCAAAAAAACAAAGGGTGGATAAAGGAACTTCTGTAGATAAGGAACCATCAAGTGAGGAAGATATACTTGATTTTGGGAGTTTAATGTTAGGATGTTTAACACTAAGTGGTTTGGGAAGAAATTGTACTCAACTGTTAGAGTTAATCCAGTTGTGAAACTTACTACAATATGTGAGAAAGTGCATGAGAAATACAATACTGGTATGAGTAGGATGAAGGCTTATAGGGCGCAAAAGGTAGAATTTAATTATGTTTAAGGATCATTCAAGGAACAACACCTTAGATTGTATGACTACACACATGAGTTGCTGAGATCAAATCCAAACAACACAATCAAGTTGAAAGTCCAACCAACTGAACCACAAACTAAGGAAAATTAGCAATAACATAAGGACTATGTCAGCAAATCATTATTGCCAAGTTTTCAGTGACTATATATGTGCCTTGGTGCATGTAAGAGATGTTTTCAAGTATGTAGACCAATTATATGAGTTGATGGGTATTTTTCTCAAGGGTCATTATGGAGGGAAGACTCTTTCAGTAGTAAGTAGAGACCCCCTAATGATCAAATAATTCCTATTGCATTTGTTGTGGTTGAATAAGAGACTAAATACTCATGGGCTTGGTTACTTGATCTCCTAGTTCAAGATTTAGGAGTGTCATAAGTTTGCAAATAATTTACTTTCATATTAGATCAGCAAAAGGTATATTTAACTTGAACTGTATCCTTTTCTCAATAGCATTTTTTGAGATACTAACCTGAATTGTATATTTAACTTTGTTTATATACATATGGGTTTTTACCTGCATTGGAAGAGTTATCATCTGGAGTTAACCAGAGTTTATATGTAAGACACTTGTACAACAACCTTGAAAAGAGGTTTCCTGGCAAGTAGTTGAAGGAACTGATGTAGAGGGCAGCCAAGGCAACTCTTCTTCAAGCATGGGAAATGGAAATGAAGGAAATGAGGAAGGTTAATGAATAGGCCTACAAATACTTGTTGAAGATTCCTCCTAGATTTTGGAGTAAGTTTATGTTCAATTATAATAATAAGTGTGATGTGTTGGTATATAATATGTCAGAAACATTTAATAGTGTTATAATTGGACCAAGACAAAAGCCATTTGTAACAATGATAGAGGAGATAAGAGGGTACCTTATGGATAAATGGGCACTAAATGGAACGAAGATTAAAGTTTATAATGGTTATGTACTTCTAAGAATTAAAAAGGTTATGGAAAAACAAACTGAAATCTCAAGGTTCTTTTTGGCTAGGTAGTTTAAGATTCATTTCTATTTAACTTAGAATTATATTTCATGGCTAGCAACTAACCCATTTCATTTTATTTATTAACAAGGCTTGTTGGTGAGATGATTTATGAAGTAAGGCACATAAATATGACATGAGATAAATTCGCAGTTGATCTTAAGCAGATGCAATGCTCTCGTAGGAGTTGGTAGCTCACTCGAATTCCATGCTACCATGCAATTACATATATCCAAAGTAGAGATGAAGAACCTACAAAATACATTCCTCCCTTGTATAGGAAGATGACTTACTAGTATTTCTATAGACAAATCATATATCCAACCAATAGATAAAACTTATGGGAAGAGACCTCATACCCAACCTTACAGCCACCACCATCATGAAGAGCACTAAGGAGACTAAAGAGAAGAAGAAACAAAGACGTTGATTAAAAGAGAAAGGATACAACACTTGTTAGTAGGAAAGGACTGCCAAATAAATGTTTGGTGTGTGGTAAATTTGACCACAACATATCCTCATGGCAAACTACACCAAGACAACCTGAACAATCCCAAACACAACCAACCCAATCTGAACAATACTAAACACAACCAACCCAACCAACACAAGTCCAAAAACAACCATCCCAATCAAGAGAATCAACCCCAAGAGTTCAAACAAGACAAACACTAAGAAGATCCAAAAACCAAAATTCACAATCCCAAACATAACCAACCACGAGACTTCAAACAAGGTATCACCAAGAAGAACCCAAAACTAAAGTTCACAATCCCAAATACAACCAACCACAAGACTTCAAACAAGGCTATCACCAATAAGAACCCAAAACCAAGTTGCATAAGGTCAAAAACAACCAACACCTAGACTACAAGGGTATCACCGAGAATAGGCACTGCAACATTACGACCATCAAGAAGAACCACACCTAAGCTGTCCATTAAGAGAAAAAAACAATTAGGCTGTTGTTTGTTGAATTTTGATGAATTTGTATTATGTATTTTGGATGGTGTTTTTGTATTTAAGATGACATGTTGCTAACTTAGAAATATATATTTTTTAGCATGATTATATGTTTTGGATGGCTATTTTGTGTTTTTGTTTTGTTTAATGAAGGATATTAAGGATTTATCACTGTTTTTGTTAATGAATCTTTTTTGTTTAATCAAGGAATCTGATAATATTTTGTGCTATTTTCAACTCCATTATTTTTACAATTAACTGAGTTGTTCACATTTTATTTTAAGGTGTACCGGATTGTAACATACAGGTCCTTGATTTTTCGTTTAGTGTAACAAACATATCATTTAAGTCTTATTTAGTGTGACAAATATGCCCTTACTGCAACATAAAATTGGACAGAATCTAACAGCTGCAAAATTTAAAAGTGCTTACTTCAACATCAAATTGGACACAAACTAAACATCAACATTGAATAAAGTCATTACTGCATAACATTAACAAAAATCAAAATACATAATCATCACTTATTGATCAAAATACACATCAACACTCCAAAAATCATAACTAAAAACATTATGACAAAGACTATCATCTTCAAAATGTTCTTCATCATCTCCTTAATGTAGTTGTCATCTTCATGGATCTTCTTATCATCTTCATGTATCTTCTTAATGGCCCTTCTAAATGTGTTAATTTCTACATCCTTTTCATCATATTTTGAACATCTTGAAGATTGAGACTGTTGTATTCCTGGTTGCACTTCATCATTATACTCATTTTCATACCACTCAAAATAATTGCAGCCAAGGGGTGGAAAAACGGGCCTGGCACGCTGGGCATGCCCGTTTTACCCGCACTTTAGTGCGGGGCGGGCCAAAAATTTAGGCCCTCACCCTCTAATGTGACCGCCCCGTTCCACCCCATTTTCTTCGCGGGCTTTCCCTGCCTGTAATATGGTGGCAGAACCGACTGTTAATACTGGTTTTGCATTTACATTCGCAAATGTGCGGTAAGCAAGAGTCGCCACCGTCTTTTATTTTATCCAACAAAGGAAATGTAAAAAAAGAACAGAAAAAACCTTTTTCAAGAGTTTTCTGAGTAAGGGGGATAAATTATGGAAAGGGAAGGTGTTAACACCCTTTTCATCCGTGGTTTTCCACGGGCTCTTAGGTACTTTCTCATTTTTGAAAACTGTTTGGGTTTGTGTGTTTTGAAAGTTTTTGTTTGCTTTATGGTAACTCTTGTATCAGTTCTCAAGAGTGTGACGAAGTTGTTTTTGAAAACTGTTTTGAAAGTGTTTGTGAGAAAATATTTTGAGATTTTTGAGCAAGTACCTAGGAACTATCTACCTACTCGAAAAAAAAGGCTGTTCATTTTTTCTCATTTCCTTTAGACAACACTATCCTACTATTAAGGAGTAGGTAGCCCCATCGTTTGAGGTTAAGGGACAATCGAAAGGGACGTTTTTACGGTCACAAAAGCAATGGTTAGGAAACTTTAGTAATTACCCTAAAGTCCTAAAGATCTTTCTGAGGCAACATTCGAATGGGTCATTTTGATCTTTTTTAGACTGGAGGGTGACCATAAAAACTCCCTATGCTTCATGACCGTTTACCGAAGGAAACCGAAGTGGTGATACCCTAGGGGTGCGTATATGCGAGTGTATTTGATTTCAGATATATTAGTCTTTGTGTTTAGTTTTCTAGCGATTGGTTTTATCTTGTTCATGTAATCCTATTGGCCATACATCTAACAGTTAATATATGTACAAATATATAAACTGCAGAAACGTAAATTCCTACGCTATTACATGGCTTCGGGGAGAGGGATTTAATTACAAGTCCAAAACCGGGAGAAATATAAAAGAAAACAATAAAAATTCCTTATAGTTTGACTACATTGATATGTACATAAATATAAAAGTGTGAAAGAAGAAAATGCACGCGAAATAGGAAAATGCGTAAAGGAAACTTTTTGATGTTTTTTTTGAATTAGTTTTAAGAAAAGAAAAGACATGTTTTTTTTGTTTGGTTTTTAATTTATGAAAATATTAAATTAAAGTCTAATTAATAATAAAAAATAAACCTAATTAATGTTTTTTGATTTTTGAATATTAAAGAAAATAAGAATTCTGAAATATAAAACCCAATTCTTCTTAATCATTACTTTAGGAAAATATTAATTAATTAATTAATTAATTAATGATCTATTTAAAAAAAAGTTAATTATTATTTTTGTGATTTTTTGGTTTTAAGGTTAATTAATACAAATAAAATCAAAAGAAGTAATAAAACATAAAGAATAGAACAAAAAAAAACAAAATAAATGGGCCTGTATCCTGCGCTATGAGCACTAAATGCATATCGTGTCCTAGCCGTGACACAATTGGATTTCAGGCTCAAACCTTGTGATTCTAACGCCCAAACCTCATAGTTTTAGATCCTGCACAACATTCAAACATACCAAGGCATTAAAATGTACAGATAAATAAATAATTTTTTTAACCAAATACACATGTTCGGATATGTAGTGTTCTTGGTCGTGCAAGGGCCTAAGGATGGCCTAGATCAATTACTGGGAATGTTGGGAGAATGATTATAGTATAAGAGTTCCACGAAATAGCTTGTAACCGCGGTTGCAAATTTTTGACGAATTTATGAAAATGGAGAGTTTGAGAGAGGGCTTCTGTAGCGTGGTAAGTGTCTTTTTTTAATGCTTGCAAAT